GTTGTTTTGGCGGGTCCGGGCTGGGGATTCGAACCCGCCACCTTAGGTGTACGTGGCTGGCGCCTTAGCCGGTTGAGCTATAGGCGCCGAGCCTTAAATCACAGTTTGAAATTACATGAATACACGTTTGTTTTACCAGGCACCTTTAGGTATGTAAAAACCTAGTGTGAATCCTTTAAGAAACATTCAAATCCAAAGTTGAAGAGTTAGCTAGCTATGTGGTCATGTCAGAAAAATAAAATCCACAACCCAATTTGTTGCGTGAATTGCATAAATCGGTGCTGTAAAGGAATAGTCTGCACTGAAATGTTTTTAAGAGGGGAGACTGTAGCTTGCTCAAGCCAACAGCTCCTAAGTTTATTTTCTGCCAGCTTATATAGTCTTAACAATACTAAGTTCTGCACGTACACATTCTATTAATAAAACTAATTGGCAGCCAATGGTTTATATGATAAGAGTACAAAGAAACCATACTGAGCAACCACAAAAACTTATTCAACTGCCTGAGAAAACAGGTGCAACTTGTAACTGAAATGCATATTAACTTATCTTGTTTCTCCGTTCTCAAGGTCCCTTCCAGGACATTCCAGAAACAGCCAGACTTTGCTTTCAGGGTCTGCCTCCTGCATGATTAGCTTTCTTTTCTTTTCTTTTCTTTTCTTTTTTTTTTGAGACAGAGCCTCAAGCTGTCCCCCTGGGTAGAGTGATGTAGCATCACAGCTCACAGTAACCTCCAACTCCTGGGCTCAAGCGAGTCTCCTGCCTCAGCCTCCCAAGTAGCTGGGACCACAGACACCTGCCACAATGCCCGGCTATTTTTTTAAGTTGCAGCTGTCATTGTTGTTTAGCGGGCCCAGGCTGGATTCGAACCTCCCACCTTAGGTGTATGTAGCCGGCACCTTAGCCACTTGAACCACAGGTGCTGAGCCTATTTATTTTTTTGAGACAGAGCCTCAAGCTGTCCCCCAAGGTAGAGTGCCATGGCTTCACTGCTCACAGCAATCTCCTGGGCTCAAGCGAGTCTACTGCCTCAGCCTCCCAAGTAGCTGGGACCACAGGCGCCCACCACAATGCCCGGCTATTTTTTGGTTGCAGCCATTATTGTTGTTTG